ACATAAATGAATGCATGCCAAGACTAAGCAGCATAAGTAACGGAGTTGATATTGTTTCATGATAGATTCAAGATTTTGAACATGTTAAAAGAAAGTATATAACAATACGAAATAGGCAGCTAGACATTCCTAGATTATTTTTCTTATTACTTTCGCATTTGGCCAATCTTATTCACAGATTCAGTCACTAAAATTGGCGGTTCAACAAAGGATTTCAAATTGAAAAACATGCCTTCGCATCTTTTAGATTACATGTGATTTTACGTTGATATTTTACTATCATTTTCATTCATAAAAGCAATTGTTTACATGAAACTATGTATTTTCATTACTATTAAACATCAAACCTCGTGTTTTGTAATCTGTACTCGAGTTGTAGTCTGATTTTTGAAGTGATGCATATTATAATTGATAACATGCTGATACACAGGAAAACAGTTACAACTACTGGTGTGCATTGAAAAAAATCTACAATTTCCTGTCAACTTTTTATGTTACATCTTAAACATGCCTAATAAAAGAAATTTTTAATGGTATATATATATATATATATATATAATACTCTTTTAAAATTCCTAATAAAAACTCGAATTCCATACTGTTGATCGTTGATGAATTTGAAACGTTGCTTCGTGGTTTGTGTCGGGGTTACTGTGTTAATCACAACTCGTTTTATTATGATTTTTGAGAAAGTTTTATTCGATCGCTATAAAGACTAATGATGACACGTTAACATAAAATCTTATCATGATGAAAACCGTTTTTTCAATCAGAGAAATCAGAGTTCATAATTACACCTTACAAATTTATAAATGTTATAAATTTTTCTAGGAAGGAAAAAATTAACAACATACATGTTCTTCTTCTCATATCATTATCAATAGCGTGATTTCTTTTTAGAGCTATTGCGCACAAACATGGTCATATTATATTTATATAAATATATATATATATACGTGTATATATGCGTATATACATATATACACATAGATACATATATATGTATATAGATATATACACACACGATATGTGTGCTTTCTGTGTGTGTACTATGTACGTACGTATGCGTGTGTCTGTCTGCTGTGTGTCTCTGTGTGTGTGCGCGTGCGCGCGTGTGTGTGTATATATATATATATATATACACATATATATTTATACAAATCCAAAATTCTTTGCCTTGATAGCAATTAATAGTTTATGTCTTAATACGTGGCGAGAGCTGTACAATGGAACGTATAGTCGAGAAATACATGTATTTGCAGTTGGTAGATGTGCATCATCTGCTGGCCGTAATGTCACGCTCGGCATTGGTTGGAAACCGTCTTCGCTTGCCGGTAATGCTGGTGATCCTGTCCAAAAGTATACCTGTCAAAAAGTGAATAAATATTGAAATATTTTTAACCTATTTCAACGCTCGAACGAACATACACCTACACGAAACAACGAACGCGAAATGAATACATAGGTGGATTACACGACTGGGAAAATTATTCTTACCAAATCCTGCCGTTCCGTGTGCGACATTTTTTCGACGGTGGACCACAACCATCGTTTGAACTTGGCTAATCTATCCACAGATTCTCCTGATTCGTCATTGAACGAGGTATACGATATAAGAACGGAGACGTTAATGTCGCCGACTCCGTTCAAGAGAAGCCTTAGATCTTCGGACGTTAAGCCGTCGAACGCTCCTTCCGGAAGAACATCGAACACCCCTTCCTTCATCGCGTGTAATGCTTTCTCTTGTACTTTGATCATACGAACTTCGGCATACTTTCTCACATAATCGTAAACGTTGCTGGCCGTTACTTCTATATCGCGGCCGTTGGGTATTAGTTCGATCGATCCCCCGCCTTCCTCGGGGCACAGGTCAATGCTAAAGAGACAGCGGCAGATCAGAAAACATTTCGATGCAACACGGTAGAACAAATACGTTCGTGTTCGTTGAACATTACCTGAACGTCAGATCCAGCGCGGAGAACAAACTGTTGCTGTCCTTGGTCTCGGAATCGATGACGAACTGTCTTAGGCTTTCGTAAATTACAGAATCGAAAAACGCCAGGTCATGGAAACGTATCGGCCTCCCCAAAATATATTTGATTACGTGGCGGTTCAAAAATATAGGGCACAGCTCGTTTTGTAGGAGACACAATCCTATAAGTCTAAGACGGGAGAGAATTTGGTTAGTCCATTGTTTAACGTGTACCAATCGCAAACGTTCTCGTTCGTTTTGACCACCAACCTGCCCACGTTTCTGAACGCATTCAGACGCTCGTAGCTGGCCTTTCCTTGCCGTGGCGTGTAGAAGCCTCTTTTCCCTGGCGAGTAGAACAACGGAGCGTTATCCTCCGTGTCGTCGAGGATGCTGTTCTCAATTTTCTTCTTATTCGTGCCACATCGAGCCGTCAGGCTGAACACGTCCAGGTCTAACAACGCTTCGTCAGCTAAATCCTGACTATGGCTGATCAGTTCGAATGCTTCTTCGACTTTTTGCTGCAGAGCGTCCTCCGCAGCTAGCAACATCAACAATTGCGCGGGGGATAGTTCCAAGAGCATACCAGTGATCTTCTCAGCCAACGCGGGTCGTAACGCGTAAACCTGTCGGGACGCAGCAAAATTGGTATCAATTGATTAAACATTCCTTTCCATAAATGTTACGCTACATTTACGGTAACCAGA